TTAAGCGTATTGATTGGCTGAAGGATAGTAAAATTCTCGAGTATCTAGAAACTTTCTATTCAGCGGCCAATCGACACGCTTGAAAAATTTGTCGTACGACAAATGTAATAGTACCCTTAGTCCCAGTCTACAATAGAGATTTAAACCCTAAGCCTTAAGAAATTGACTAATCACAGTCGTGTATTCTACTCGTACTTGACGGTGATTGGCCAATTTCTTAAAGCTTAGAGCTTAAATCATCTATTGTAGACTGGGACTTACCAAGAGGTGGACAAAACCGGCCCTTAATTGCTTCGTTTCGTCGTGAGGTTTCCCCTCGAGATTGCGTCTTCGTTTATGCTCGTGTTTTCACGTGCTCCAATTCGAGTGGTTTTAAGAACAATGAGAAAAGAAAACCGGAGTCGGAGTCGGAGTCGTCGGAGAGCGTCCGTAGTCCGGAATAAGAATGTCGGAGAGGCTGTATTGGAGAACTGTGTACCTGAAGAGGAAGAAGCATTTATGAAACGGAGAAAAATACAATCTCCCTCTGGTACTGCTAAACGGCGAGTTAACGAGGATTTTTGTCCTCTGTACACGAGCATAATATAAGCATTTCCGCTTGGAGAGAAAAAGAAAAGTCACCGCTATGCCTACCCGGTTGACGGAAAATAACTTCGAGTGTCGGTTAGTTTCGTGCTTGCGCGGTAAAATAACAGCCGTTCTAACTTGCTGCGTGCATGAATGAAATGTATCAACGGAGAGACGTGCCCCTTCGTGCTTTAATAACGATTCGATATTTTATTCAGGGTGAGTTCTGTGCTGAACAGGAACGTTCAGTCTTACGGCAAGATGTATATGTTTGATAACTGCAGCGAAACGTGTTGGAATTCCGACGCGGTAGGTAATCAAGTTTTCCCACGGATCAGCTTTGTGTTTAGCGATGTAATGTAATATTGCGCGTGGCAGGGAAGTCCACAGTGGGTTCTCGTTACGTTCGAGGAGGAATGTGGTCTCTCGAGCTTCGAGGTGGAATTCCAGGGTGGATTCGCTGGGAAGAATTGCCGTATAGAGGCCGGTAATGACAAGAAGGAGCTGGCGTTTGTCGAAACTTTTTATCCGGAGGACAAGAACAAGCCGCAGCGATTCGACTTGAAGAATCGGATCAGAGCCAAGGTCTTTAAATTTGTATTCGACGAGAGCTACGATTTCTTCGGCAGGATCATCATATATGATTTATCGTTGTACTCGTGATATCTCGTCTATTATCTTATAAATGGTATATTCCATCGGATTGCCAGTGTTGATATAAGAAAATTTCAGATTTCAATCGACCTCAGCTGGCCACATTCATTGAATACGCCTTCACAACACTTCGACCTTTGATTTGCAGTGAAGTGGCTCTTGTTTCTGAGCACCGCTCGCCAAATTGTGGCTGTAATTTCATTTGACAAACTCCGCAACAAGGTAGACCGACAATCTTTCTGCGATACTGTTACAATTCGTTTGTACTTCTCACGTAAATTGTATATGTAAAACATTTACTCCTGGATCTCACAAAAGGACCTAAACCAAAGGTTGAAGCATTACGAGGGCGTATTCAATAAATGTGGCCAGCTGAGGTCGATTAAAATTTGAAACTTATCTTGTAATTTTGTATATTATAAAATTTGTTGGTACATAAATTTGTAGGAGACGATTAGATTTATACAATTTTTGTAGAAAAATCTGTATCCTGATAAAACTTAGGATGTTACAACTTTTTGGCTTTGCCAGTTATAATACATAAAAGAGTTTTCTGTAAGAGTTTGCATAGTTTTCGCAGTGAATTTCTTTAATTAGAATTTGCCAGCGATAGGTCGTCATGCAATTTTCTTACATTGGTTAATCAATTACTGGCGTTAAATAATTCTTTACGTTTGTACATTTCATTCATTTAGTTATATAAATATGTAAGCTTATACTAATTACTATACTTATTTTAATTAAAATGATTTATTCTCTTTACGTACAGTTAAATACAATATATAAATCATGGCTGTTAAATGCACGATAAGAAACGATTACTTACAACAGTTAATAGAAACTATTTGTTTCGCAATTACCACGTGGTTATTCTCAGGTCTCGTTTTGGATCGGTTGAGCACTGACTGGTCGAGCTGAGAAAAGAAGCGGATATCTTTTAATACCATTCGCATGCATTTACTGTATGGCTTGGTTACTCTGTCTAGTCTTACTTGCGCAGGTCAAAGGCTGAAATTTTATGTCGTCGACGGCAAAGCCCCCATTGCTGGCGCTCCCCTCGAGAACAAGCCGGTACGGAGTTCGCGCTTCAATCGCCACTTGCGCCGCCATCCATACCGGCCGCTTATCACTATTCAGTCCTTTAGCTGTCAGTGACCATAACTGCAATAATTCAATGAAAAGTTGAGAACAAAGTGAACCGTATGTACGCCAGAGCGAAAAACTCCAGTGCATCTGATACTGAAATGATAGCAAGGAAGTACGAACAATTTGTTTTTCTGTCAAAGAGCCCGAGGAATGTAAAGTGACATTCTGAATATTATGAAAAATATTATATTCGGTTTTATACGCAGCATTGGTACCGGTTGCTCCTGTTCGCCTTCACTTTGTCCTTCGGTCTCTTCGGCGGGCATTTTGATCACTCGCAGGGTGGTGGACTCCTCGACGCCGAAAGCGGCGAACCAAAAGGTGAAACACACGAACTCTTCGTCGGGCGAGGCGTTGATGACGGGCGATTGTAGTTGAACCTTCGTCGATTCCTTATTTGTCGTGAAGATGTCGAAGAATACGAAATCACCGGTCGTGCCAAAGGTTCTGTCCAACAATTGGGCCGGTCGGTGGGCCAGAAACGCACGCTGCCACATCACAGGGCGGTCGTTGTCGGAGACAGTTATGTTCTCCCATCCGCACAAATCCTTCTCGAAACTGCAGTCCTCTGCGCGAACGACTGCACTCGTTGGTTTCACTGTGTGCAGATGTAAATTTCACAAAAGTTTACGACATAAAATGAGATGACCAGAGAATAGTATTACGCCCCAAAGGGAATAGATAGTTCAGAAGAAGAAGAAGACGAAAATATTCACCACTGCAATTTCCAGTGTAAAAGGAGATATCGTCAATTCCTATGCTACCACTGGCTCTGTTCGGGCCCCACGTGCCCTCGAACACGATATTGAAATTTGTGTTTTGATTGACATTAGTCTGAGCGTAGCTCCATGTCGGACCTTGATTGTTGTATAGTTGCCATATAGGTTTGGCTTTCGAACTGTCACCATCTGTTTGCACGTACAGTCGCAAGACGCCTAAAAAAATTAAGAACGTTCTCATTTTGTCGATAAATTGCATTCCATACAACATACGTCTTGGAAAAAGTCGATAACAATTTATCTTATCGCACTGAATTCCTAGATTCTCTCTTTTTCCTTATAAAATGTACATATTATATATACATTATTATAAAATATTATAACGTTAGATACAAGATAATATTATGTAGAGCAATCTAAAATTAAGAAATTCTGCGATTAAAGTCGCTAGAGTGGCATTACCTATTAATTATAAATTGAGAAAAGTAAAGCAAAATTCGAAGCATACGATTCTATTAAATAGATCTTCATTCACTTTTTTGCAAAACTTCATCTACCTAAGCTGGGTCCCGTGGAATCGATGAAAGACTCGAACATAAAGTACCAGAACGTGATACAGAGCGATTCTTGAGAACCCTTCATCTCTCGGCTGACCAGCTGAGCGGTACCACCGGACGATCGCGGGCCACCTCGGAGACGCCCGAGCCCCAGAAAATACTCGTTGCGTCGATTAACCGTGTGCCCACTGCTGTACGGCTTCCTCTGATTCCTCGGGCCCAACACCTGAGTGGACACCCTTTCCCATTCGACGCGATCTGGATCCCGCGAGTTCATCCACTCGCACTCGTCGATCTCGAAGGTGCAATCTCGCGATATCGGAGCGGCCACTTGAGGTGAAACTGCCAAATCCATATATAAGTAAATAATGTTGAAGAATCAATCTGGATGAGATAGTCATCGATATAATAAGAGTAAAGTTCGAACGTTAAGTGTGTTTTAGGAGGCTTAGGAGTGAGATTTAACGAGACCGTCCTACGTGCCTTCAGCCCAGACAACAGTTCTTGCGCGCAAATTTTGCTTGTCTTATGCATGCAAGCTTGTACGAGATTTGTCCAATTCTGCTCGTAAGATATGTTTAGTCTGTGCCTTGTGCACGCAAGTAGTTAGCTCGTGCATTAACGTATAATTCTGCGTACAGATATCTAACAACTCGCGTACAAAAATGGCTCGATAACGCAAGCAAAATCCTGTCCCAGTACGTCGACACAATACTAGACGTTTGCAAAATGTTTTCTGGGTGTTTAAAGAAGCAAAATAACAATTCGTTATAATCGTCGATTGTAGGAAGTTTTACGCGAGTAGACATTAGGGTTCAATTTCTCGATTTAAAATAAAAAAATGTGAATTTAAAGCAACATTGCCGAACTTACCGGGACAAGCACCTGGCCCGTATGAGATGTCGTCGATTGCGATGTCCCCCATGCCGGTGATTCCCACCGACGCCTCGAAAACCAACTGAAAATCTTCGAGGGAGCTGATCGTGACTTGCGACATGAACCAGGCGTTGCCGGCATTTCCGGACAGACTCCAGATCTCCTGCGGTTGCGTGTCTGAACTGCGAAAATGACGTAGGAACAGCTTCAGGTAGCCAATTCCAGAGCCAAACATGTGGAACCAAAAACGCATGCACATCGGCGCGTCCGACATTGTCGCCGGAAAGCTCGAGCTTATGATCTTCGCCGTGTCGCCGGGTCTCCGCGGGAAGCTGGAATCGATGTAAGCGTAACCGCCGGCAGTGGCGCGATCGGTGGAGCTGTCCATCGCTGGACCGGTCGTGGGATTCCCGCTTCCGCGACTCTGAGGAAATGCGCTTTCTCAAATTATATTGTCACATAGCGCGGAGCACAGCGCAACTTGATGAGAGCACTTACTATGGTCCAGTCAAAATCATCGTCCGCGTCATTGTTCCAGTCGCAGAAGCCGCTAGCAAAGTTGCAGAATCCAACGCACGACGTTCCAGGCTGTAGATCTATGTCGTCGATAGCAATGTACCCGCGATAGAGACGCGACGGATCCGTGGAGTCCACTGGCACGCCCTCAATAACTAACTAAATAGCAAGATTTCCATTTTTTTTACAAAGATATTTATAGGGTGTGACATAAAGCGCTGAGAATATCAGCTTGAGCAAGAGGAGTTATATTTCACATATTTGAACAAACTACGCGGTTGTTGAACGTTAAACATACGAGTAAATTCTGCCGATTCAATTTTATCATAAGTAGAGTTTCGATTGTATTCGTGCTGACTGTAGCGCTTCATGTTCACCGATTAAATCTTCAATCGAATCAAATTACAATAATATACCGAGTGTAATTCAGGATAAGTGTAAAGTATTTGGGCCTGCTGCCATATTCCGAGCATGTAATACTGCGCGTGCCACAGTACGCGCTCTTCCACGATCTCCGTCGGTTCGCAAGGCACTGCTGTGATATTCTCTACAGGCAGTTCCTCGGGCTGTTCCTTCTTAAACGAGAACTCGTCCGTTCCGACGTGCAGCAGCACTCGCAGCCCCGCGATGCTGAGACCGTCCATGGTGTATTTGAACATGAAACAGGTACCGGAGACCCCGGTGCTGCCTAGTTGCGGGCTGTGCAAAAGACCCCCGAAACTCTTGGACTTCAGGTCCTTCGAAGGTATTTGCGATGTCTCCAAAAAGGCGTATCTAACAGATTAATCTGCGTTCGGGATTATCCGGCGGAATATTAAGTGCAACATTAAGGGATATAAATGCTAACAAAACATACATTATAAAAACACAAACGGCACGTAAATGCAAAAGAATATCGACTGATCTCTTTCGCGAGGTCGTATCTTGAAGCGTTTCTGGCCTTGCGAAAGAGATCTGTCGATATATGTAACTTCCGTCAAGAGAAAGAAATTATGCCGCTTTTCTATTTCTCACGGTCACGATATAACTGCGCTAAGGGATCAAAAGCCTTAATTCAGTACTAAAGAAAGTGCGACCTTTGCCGTATATTTCTCAAATCTAGCAATTTTTACCCTCCTTCCATACTGCCACTCGTGGCGTCGGCCGATGGTCCACCCAACCAGTTGGTGCCCAATCCAGTACCTGAGGTCCAGTCCAGGGCACCATTACCGTTTTGCCACTCGCAAAGCGGCATCGACGGTGCTGGCCCAAAGTCGCAGAAAACTTCGTCGACGGTGACTGTCGGAGGTGGCACAGTAATCGGCGTAGGAAATCTTATAAGTGTAAAATTGCAAGCACCGTATAAGATTAGCTGATCTACACCATAATATGTTTTATAAAATTTTGTCAAGTCTACCAAGTCATATTTAAAGTAAGAATCTAAGTGAAATTAACTGAAAAAAATATAGTTTCGTTGCGTACGCCCTGAGACTTGAAGCGTGACAAGCTCTTTTTTAATCGTTTGTGACTCAACAAATGTCTCTGTGTTGATTTTCTTCGTAAAGCTTTAAAAAGGCACCTTTGTGACGAAGGGTTCCTCTGCGCCAGCGTTGTGGGCTGCAGAGACCTGGGTGGTAAAGACCTTTCCGTGGTGAAAGGCGCAGTGCTGCGGGTCGGTAGGATATCCGGCCTGCCCGGCCACTGCCTGGGCTCGATGCGCTCTACTTCGTCCAACGGTTCGCGGTCGCGATCGACGGAATTGATGGGAGATTGTCCTGAATCGATCGAGTCGACGGACTCTGGGCCGTCAACCGCGGCGCCGGTTCTCGCGATGTCTCTCGTCCAGACCGGAGCGTAAGTGGAATTTGCAGCATCCACGAGATCTATCTGTTCCCCGCGCATCGCGTTCAAGGTAGCTGGAGGGTACCAAGTCATGCTCCACGAAGGATACAACCGGCAGCTCAATAACAAGATCCACCACATGTCCGGATACGATTATGCTTTTTCACGTTACTCGCTATCTGCGAAGACGTGAATTACAATTAAAATCAAGGATTCAATTCAAGAAGATTTTGTTGCGAAACTATTTTCTTCTCAATTCCGAATTGCAATAAATAATCCTTTATTCTATTAAAATAGGGTTTAAAAGCTTTACAAATTATATAGATAATTTAATCGATATTAATCTTAATAGCTGTGAAAAAAGGATTGAAATTTAGAAACTTATCTTGAAAACCTTAAAATTGAATGTGCTTTTATATTCTTCCATTTTTTATTCATTTATCTTAAATTAATACATTTGGCAGTCAGACATTAAAATAGAAAGTAGATCTCTTACAGCTGAAATTTGTCATTAAAGTTTAATGTGTCTTGTGAGGCGGAAAAGGACGGAGAGAAAATCAAGCGCTTGGACATAAAACCCCGACATTATGGACTAAGTATTTAATTTCACAAAACAAATTTCTTGTGATTCCTCTTTTAATTCACTTATTTTGCACTGGACTTACATTTCGACGCGCGTGTCATGTATCATCCACTACCGGATCATCAGGATCCTCAAGATACGATGGTCTTGACATGGAGTTTGTTTGGTGGAATTCTGCCTCGCTAAAAGATACGTTAAATAGTTTTATAAAATCGCGCTGACATTGATATCAAATAAAAACGTCAACGAAACACGTCGGAATTGAAAACTTGCGAGGGTAATAAAACCACTGAATCCACAAAAATTGGCAAAATTCTAAAAACTTGAATTGTTTCTGAACAACACAAATTTAAGAACAGTTTTTTAATAATAGACTTTACCTCTATCACGGATTTTCCTTGCACTAAACACTTTTCCCTCGGGACGATTCTTTTGATTTTCTTACACTGTACCGAGGGAGAGTTCGAATGACAGTAACAAGTCCGACAGAATGATATCTGTACTAACGAGATGCGAACTATACGGTTTTCCAGAATCGCACGGAACGAAACGGTATGGACACAGTTCCGGTCTTAGCTTCCGGTTGTTACGCATCCCGCACGTTCGGGGGAACCCGATAGCAATTCGTCGAACAATGAAATTCCATCGAGGCAGAATGCCGTAATAATAAGATTAAAATCTGACCGTTTCCAGTGGCGGTAAATGAGTTCCGCATATCGCTTCGCAAACGATAGGTTTTCAATTACTTAGGCGTGATGTTTACATTCATCATTCATAATTTAATTTCCTCCCGACGATTAATTAATACAAAGCATCAGATTACTTAATACAACAAAGAGCTATACGTAATACAACGCAAATACGTTATACATAATAAGATATGAAAGTTGCCTTTACTGATTAACTGCATTTTAATTGTAAAAATTCTATAAAGAGTCTAAGAGACAGTTAAAAATAAAATTATGCAGTATTACTTAATTTGGAATTATGTTCCTCCACAATTAAAAAAGTAATTTCTAGAGATGTCACCGTGTAACATAAAAATTTGACATTAACAATTACATAATAATATAAACTTGAAAATTATTTAGTGCTCTAGAAAAAGATAATTTCATATATAAGTTTAGAAAAATGTTTAAGTTAAGTTGCGATCTAATTGCCATGCGACAAAAAACATCTTTACGAAAATCTTGTTAAAATTCTCCCCAAACGACATTTGTTTCCATTTTATAAAACGAATTCCCATATATGTGGCAATACTATTTTCCCATTCCTTCTCTTCCAAGACATTGATCATTAAAATATCATTTTGATTCAAATTTTCATGCATTGATAAATTTTAGAAAAACATGTGGCCCAAAGCTGTCACGTTCTCGTTCAGCGAGATTAATTTCACGCCCAAGATTCAGATATACTCGAATGATGTAAGGGACAAGAAAGGGGCAAAGTACGAGCTGATCAGTGCGGGGCCGACACAAGCTGTTCTTCCTCAGCATCTTCGATATTAAATTCACAATGGAAGGCGACAACCAATGCGGCAAAGGCTGCGGCGGATTGTTACGCACTAGTTTCGTAATCTCGGCTAAATTCTGAAACAATGATGATCAAGAAAATATTTATATAAAGAAAGACACGTGTGGGCAATACAAGTATCTTATATTTTGCGAAAAGATCTTCATTATTCTTTGCATTTTCAAAAACATCGGTATTGTTATATTCTCTGTGCATAATATTGCTACTTTATGCACAATATACTATTATTTTATATCTTGACCATGTCTCGCTGTTAATTAATTCATTTACCGTGGCTGGGAATGGAGATCTCTTTGTAACCATTTCATATAGTATTACGCCCATGCTCCATATATCACACTTAAGTTCATACGGCCGTACACTCAGCACTTCCGGAGCCATATAATAATAAGATCCTGCGTGACACGTTATCGAGTTTCTACAAGGTGAAAAGAAAACAATCAAATTTACGGAAGATAGTGACGATTACGTAGATTATGTTGATTTATAGAGAAATAATTAATCCCAGGCGACCTATCATTTTAAGGCATTTCAGTCATACTGATAATTTCAGAGTAGTAATTCAATGCCGCGGTTAAAATACAACTTGTTGAAATTAAAATAGACTCTATCACTGCGTACTCTTGGATACTTTTTGAAAGGCCGAAGTCACCGATCTTGACGATATCACCGCGGCTGCCAGTCAACATGATATTTTCCGGTTTTAGATCTCGGTGAAGAATTTTGTTCGAGTGAATGTGATGCACTCCCAGAGTAACTTGTGAAAATAGATACAGCGCATCCTAATAAAACATATTTTCTTATTACTCTTTCTTAACGATTAATGCATCTATTTTTTTAAACGTGCACAAAATTATTATTTTTGAAATACACTTTATTGATTATAAAATTATTGAAGAACTTTCTACCATCATAGACAAAGTACAAATTGATGATGCGGATATGTAATTTTAATTTTGACAAATTATGATGTGTACGCGCATCAATTTGATTAAAGAATATTCAATTTCTTGTGAAATTTCAATATAATGCAAGTTTCATCGTAACTATCGAATTTTGTAAAATTCTAAAAAAGTATATCTTGACATACTCAGGTTACAGGCATTAAAAGCTATAGAATAGAAAATGACCTCTTCGTTAAGTGGTATGTCTCGTTTTTCAAGCAAATCCTTGAGAGTACACCGAGTTGCATATTCCAGAAGAATATAGCTGTAATTATCTTTCTTCCATGCTCCATAATAAAACACTATGTTTGGGTGTCTCAATTTCTGTAGGCACTGTATCTCGTCCAGTGTTCTCTGAATTACGAAACATATGTCGAACTTCGTATTTTAATTAAAGTAATCGATATTGTGCAATTAATATACCTCAGAAGGCGAATGGTTTACTGCATTTAAGTCTTGCGCTTTTATAACGAATGGCTTCGAGTCTTTCTTCCTTCTCACCAAGTACACAGTTCTAAAAGTACACGTTATTCTTAGAAGGTAAATCCGATTTGTGCAATTTATCATATTTATCTCAAATAACAATATACCCAAATGTTCCTTTTCCAAGCACGCTTTCAAATGTGTAATAGTCTACGTGTACATCCATCTTTATCGCCACAAGATATGAAACTGAAGGTTTACAGCGAAATTGAATTTCATCAGGGACAAGAGTGTGAAAATATTTTGACTGTGACACGCGTATGTTCAGCTTATTGAAGGACTATTCAGCGTGTTTATGGTAGATCTATATAAACAGAAATATTTTCAAAAGTATATATACATATTACTTATCCAATTTAAATTTATGTACTATATGTACACGGTATAAAGGATAATTTTTTGCTTAAAAGAATTTTAAGAAATTGAAAATTCCTTGGTATTAATCTGTTCTACTTTCCATATAAATTACTAAATTAAACTTTGAAGAAGTGTTAAATTCAATTCACTCTTATTAAGAAATATTGCTCCAAATTGAAGATCGTAAAAATATCGATAGCTCAGGAAGAGACCTATTTAATTTACTTATACTATAACAATCATGATAATTGGGTAGTAAGTTAAATGTCGACAAATTAAAATTACAATTAAATGATGTTTTATTTACTCTTTTTTTTACAAATGCAATGCAGATTTTCCTAAAGCGTTGTGACCTAAACTATATCAAGAGAAAACATCACGATTATCAAACAATATATATATATATGTATATATATATATGCCTAAACGGATTGCATACTTTATGGTGAGATAAATGTTAAACCTGCAGGAGTATAACATAGGTTGCAACAGCGGTTATTATAACCAAAAGATAGGTAAGAAACTTCGTCTTTTTACTATTAATAATTTTAAAGGATGCGTTATTTTGATTCTATGACAACATAAAGGTACCCACAACGAAACAAAGATACACAGCTACTTTGTAAATGTTAACAAAGCGTCTAAGGACTATAACGTATGTACTCATAGCAAGTCCCATACGTATGTTATGTGTTGTTGAGAGAGGCGAAAAAACAGGAAGGAAAACCAAATAGTGATTATTGCAACATTTACTCACGAATAAGAAAGCAAATCGCTTTATGTCCTAGCACAATACGGGATTAGATGATATTGCAATATATAAATGTATATATCTTTACTCTGATATCTTTTGAACTTTGTCGTTACCGACCGCATTTCAAGAATTGTTAATAGAACTGTTACTAGACTCTATCGTATTGGCGCTATCGTTTCCGGCGGACGCGGACACGCGTGACTGCTTCAGACTATCCAAGTACTCCTGTTGTGACGTCGCCAGCACTTGTGAAAGTATTTGGCTATCTTCCCAATCCGTCAGACCTGGGAAATTAAAAAATGACGAGAGTTACTACAAAATTGTCGTAGCTTAATGTAAAGTTTATCTAAAAAATAGTGTTTTAAGTAAACTCCAAAGTTTTCTCATTTATATTAAAGCTTAACTTTTTCGAGTTTAATTTTTATTAAATAAAAACTTTACATATATATGAAAAATTAATCTCTGAAACAAAAACGTAGTTTGTTCGTTTAAAAGTAGACATGAATCCAGAAAACGCATTTTTACCAAACACTTCGGGTGGAAGGCGATTGAACAAAGAAATGTCGGGCGACGCGTTTGCCTCCTTGCTACTTCCTGGCACAGGCTCTTGCGGCATCATTTTCGCCTCGAAATCCGACGGCAGATGGGATATGCTGGATCCTTGCGTCGATTGATGTTGCGGCGATCTCTTGGCGTGCCGTACCGCATCGCTCACCTAACAATCACACAACAAACACTCCCATATGTACAATATCTTTGAACTTCCGTCGCGAGAATGAGCAAACAAAACGGACCTTTGGAGAATTACGTAAATTATCTTGGCTAGTTTGTGTCGTGGTCGGAGAAGAGGTATGGCTACGCTGCTGTCCACGACCTCCATGTGAATGAAAGTGTGAATGATTATGTTGCGCGCTCGTAACTGTGCTCGTACTGCTACTACTGGCTGATCGCTTGATTCAAAAGTCGTGACTGAGTCTTTTCGCTCCAATAGAAGAGTAACTGATACGGTAATTGGATTTTTACTTACTGCCTTACGCATCTCATTATCACGCAACCATTGCAAATAACTCTCACGGGCTACTTGCTCCTCGATAGCTTCATTAGTCGCCTCCCAGTCGGTAGCTTTTATCTTATCCTCCAGCATAGTCTTTCATAGAATCAAAATGGGAGAATGACTTTCGGACACTAAGGCCAAATAAATCCGCGTGTTTGTCTGTGACGATTACCTGTTCGATATGCAGCTCCTCGCTTTGACGAACCGCGTCTGATATCAGAGCGCGATCAGCAGCGCCAGGGTTGTACGATGGTAAACCAAGTCCAACCCCTATAGTAGCTTTAAATGGATCAACTATACTGTTATAATGACTACCACGTTGATACGACAGCCTGATAGGTTCATTATCACTTTCCACCATAGTATGAAAAATATTGATAGGTTCTACAAAAAGAAAAGGTATTCGATGATGTAAGATCAGGAGTAGATCCGCGGGTCAACTCTGTATCTTGCAACATAGTAAAAATGCTAAGAGTGAGTATTCGTGTCTCTTTCTAATTGTCGACAGCTTGGAAAAAGACAAAACCGTTCACTTTTAGCATTTTCACTACGTTGCAAGATTCATAGCTACAGAGTTGACCCACGGATCTACTCCTGGCGGTCAATTCTGTATCTTTCACCGTAGCGAAAATGCTATTGTACTGTAGCGAATAACCTTGTCTCATTCTACCGTCCCTGTAAAAAAAAAGAGACAAAGCCGCTCACTTTTAGCATTTTCACTGTGTCGTAAGATACAGAATTGACCTCCTGATCTTTCATCATCGAATGAAAGTATGTACATACCAGTGCTATAACAATATAATTGGATACTACGATTGTACATTTCTGACATAGCTTGCATCTCTATGTGATTTCCATGCACATACTCCTGTCTTTTCCTGTCTACGTAGGTGCTAAAATCTTCCGCCACAAAATGCGAGAAAAATTCCTGATTGGAAGCCTGGAAGAAACGTGATTTTCACCGGAACGCATTAGAAGTAACGGCACTAGCGTTATCCGTGTCGCACACTCACAATATAATCCATACAGTGCTTTCGCACAATTCCATGCATCTCCTGATCGCCGTAAACCTGATCTGCTACCGCTCTAAATAAGCAGGCTCCGTCCTCCGCCATCTTTTTCAATATAAAACCCTTTTTCTTGAGGCGCTTCTCGAACAATCTATCCTTCTAGATTGCCGCGGACACGGAACGTGATGAATATATTAGACAATGCGTCGTGATCGCGTGAAATGTTTCCGAGGGGCAAACCGCCGAGGGCACAGTGTACAGATTTGCGGCATTACTAGGCATTCTTTGGGACTAGAGATAATAAGGTAAAGCAATGCCCACCGGGCATTAGTAGGCGTTGGTGTACGTGATCCTGGTAAGCCCTGGTTTACCCCTCGAATATTTCGTTCGACAATACCCACCTCCTGCCACTCGGCTAGCGTAAGATTGTTTTCAGTATGTCCTGTATACTCGTCCCCGCTATTGTAGCCATTGGCCGATTCATGTTCCAAGTTCGAGGCATTCCCGACAATGCTCACTCTGCCGCTCACGCTGGTATCAGTGCCTGGATAAATCAGACTCAACTGTTATCTCCCATATTTATACGCAGTCGCAGTCTCATTTTGGTGACCGGTGACATGCCGTACGGGTACCAAAAAGAAAAAATAAGAAGCTCGTTACCTTGCGAGCCATTGCAAGAAGCAGCAGGTGGAGTAGCCTGCCTCTCGCGCTCCCTCTCCCTCTCCCTCTCCCTGCCTCTATCCCTCTCCCGTTCACGCTTTGTGCGCGAAGGTCTACCAATACAGCTATTAAAAGATTAGTATATCCCTTATTAAATACAAGCACAAACCTATACTGTAAAAGCGCGCAATTCCTTTCGCGTATCCTATTTTATGTAAAATTACGAAACAAATGTATTTCGACGGCGTCCGCTTTTAGTCCGCCTTCGCGTCATTTTCAAATACCTGTGGGGACTGACTCTCTGTCTGTGACGTTTACCATGACTCGGGCCACTCCCGTCTTCAAAGTGTTTGTCTTCGCGGCGGTCGACGTTCGTCTGCAACAAAAACACACCTGGCATCAGCCGAAAATCTCTCTCTCTCTCTCTCTCCGCCAGGCGCTGCGACTAGGCATTCGATTGCACCCGCAATTATTAGGTGGTAAACTTAGTTTCCGCGGCTCACATTTAGATGCAAGTGTAATTTACATTGACATCTGAAACTGGCTGCATTTTACATGCGTTTGTCAATAAAATTCAGCGCGAAGATTCATTTAAGCGAACTGTGCCATTTTTGTTCTTTTGATTAAACGTGGACCGTGATAAGTCGTTTTTTCGACATGTGCGCTTCGTTGCTTTGATTTGAAGAAAAAAACAAACAAAAACTGCGGCTACAGCTCATAAATCACTTGCCGAAGCTTATGGCAATTGTGCTCCACCGGAAGGAACACGCCAAGAATGGTTTCGGCGATTTAAAAGTGGTGATTTTAATGTAAATGCTAAACAACGCTCAGGTCAGCCGAAGAAGTTGGAAGACACCGAATTGCCAGCATTATTGGACGAAAACGCTCCAAGCTGAAACGCTCCAAGAATTGTCTGCAGCGTTAGATGTTACTCCGTTTCCAAACGTCTACGTGCAACGGGAAAGATTCAAAAGGGAAGTTATTCTTTCGCGCGACAACGCTCGACCACACGTTGCAGAAGCCGTCAAGGAAACACTGATGCAGCTTGAATGGAAAGTTTTCCCGCACCCAGCGCATTCACCGGACTTGACTCCTTTAGATCATCACACTTGTTCCGATCGACGGCACGACCTGGTGGATACACACTTAAAAAATTACGGGGATGCGCGAAAACGGACCGACGAATGGATTGCATCGAAAGACCAATCGTTCTATCGTCGCGGCATCCACTCGTTGCCAGAAAGATGGGGGGGAAAAGTGTATAGCCAGCGAGGGGGCAAATACGTTGATTGATGTATTTCTTGCTTGTGATATCGAAACGGATGAGTTTGTTAAACAACAAAACACCGCGGAAGCTAAGTTTACCACCTAATACAACGCACATCGCAGTAGATTTCTTTTTAATAAATATTATCGCTCATGCATCATTAGAGACTGGTCTACGATAAGTGGAGCGAGCCTGGAGCAAAGGTCGTGGCACAGAAAAACTTGAGACACAAGGGGAAGCGGCCAATCTCAGTCGAGAGACGGCCACTTTTAAACCTGAGCAACGCTGAAACTTCCGGTCAGCTGAAATTCTTAAGTCTCGTTGCTCAGGGGTGTTTTTTGTGTGAAAGCCCTAAGAGAACCATAATCTTTTGGGCGTTGGAAGCTGAAATACAGACGTGACTTTTAGCACTGACCAACTCCGCTCTGGGGCTCGATCGTGAATCTTTTCTTCTAACGTGGAAAGCGAAAATTTACATTGGACAATTTCGCTATTGGCCAACGAAAATTTTCGCCTTTCACGAATTCACGCGCCGGAGGAGAAAAGATCCACGATCAAGCGACCCGAGTCACCGAGGGTAAAACCAATGGCACACGATACTATTTTTCCTACATGGACTGCGCACGAGAGCCAATCAGGATTTAGCTGCAAGTCACCTAATCTAAAAAAATGTACACCCTTATTGGTGCTCGTAAGCGATCCAGCACCGGAAACAGTACCGCGTGCCATTTGGCCTAGTCCCGGTCAACAACAGAGATTTAAACCTTAAGCCTTAAGAAATTGACTAATCACAGTCGCGTATTCTACTCATACTTGACCGTGATTGGTCAATTTATTAAAGCTTAGGGCTTAAATCATCTATTGTAGACAGGGACTTAAGCGCGAGAGCCGAAGCAGGAGTGAGGGCACGTGTCCACGATGCTGGAACTTGTGGTCCAGGTTCTAGTTTCGAGAAACGTGTGGCCAATCGGCGTGCAGCTTTCATGGAATAGCCGCGAGTTGATTGGCCACACGTCTCTCGAAACTGGAACTTGGACCAAGTTCCAGCATCGTGGACGCAGGCCCTTGAGAAATAAAAGAATCAATTTATTTCCTCACTCCAGGGGGTGGTCAATTCTGTATCCTACACTACAGTGAAAACGCTGAAAGCGAATAGCATCGTCTAACCGTCCCCCTCAAAAGGAGACCGAGTCGTTCGCTTTTAGCATTTTCGCTGTGTCGCAGGATACGGAATCGACCCCTTAAGCCCAATGTCCACGATGCTAGAACTTGGTCCAAGTT